TGTGTGCCTTGTTAAGGGTCCCCACGCGGCCTCTCCATATAGATAGAACCCACCAGTCATGCCTCTTAAAACTTTTGTCAACGAAGGTATCGGGCCCACGAATCCAACTTTGTGGTATCTACAGCTAGGCAAGTTCATCGAGTAACTACATGCTTAGCTGTAGACATCACTATATATATATATATATATATATATATATATATATATATATTATATATATATATATATATATATATATATATATATATAGTATATATATATATATATATATATATATATATATATATATATATATATATATATATATATATATATATATATATATATATATATATTGTACGTGTCTGTATGTCTGTATGCGTGTTTGTGTGCGTGTGTGCACAAAAGCGTGTATGCGAGTGTTTTCGAGTGAAATAGTGCACAGCGACCAAGTTTGAACGTGTAGCTAGAGTATGCACGGAATATAAATCGGATATATATACATCCTGATCATTAACACTTCTATACAGATTCCCACACATGCCTTTCGATATTTGCCGTAGTCTCTCTGGAGTTATCTCGGTCCGTTCAGTGCCCTCGACCACTGGTAGCTTCAACACCCCTTCCTGCTCAGGAATATTTACTGTCACGTTAAACTCTCTTTCATTTTTTTCCATGGCGGTGCCCCCAGGGCGCCGTTCCAGTTTGCGCACTGTTGCATGCTTGGATTGTTTAACACCCATGCCGTGTGTCTGTGTATTTGTAAGTATGAATGTGGGAATGAGTGTATACCTGTGTGTGTGGTCTATGTGTGCGCGGTTGTATGTGTGTATGGGTATGTGTGTGTGTTTATGTGTGTATGTGTGTGGGCGCGTATGTGTACACGTGTGTATGTGTGTGTCTACGTGTATGTGTTTGTGTGTGCGGGTTCGTGTGCGGGTGTGTAGAGTATGTGCCACTTATCGCGCACCTTCTACCAATAAGCTCACGTATTTGGGACGGAATTCAGTCTAATGCCTTTCTCACAGAGTCTCACGGAGTCCTGAAAACTTTTTTTTATAGCAGGTTTTTTTTATAGTAAATAGTAAAACTTTTTTCGAGGCCAGCGTGAGCGAGGCACCCCTGTTATTTTTAAAAACATATTTAAAACTTTTTGCCCTCTCTGACTCTCTCTCTCTCTCTTGTGTGTTGGTATCGATAAAAAAAAACATAGCCTACTACTATGTACTAAATAAAACAATAAAGCGTAAAATAGAATAAAATCACAAGTATATATATATTTAAATTATTCCTGAAGACTGATGAAGGGAGGATATTATTAGTGAGCAACACTTCGAAGTTTGAACAGTGTGAAGTGTGAAGTTGATCGGTGTGTGTGAACTGTGAACTGTGAAGGTGAAGTGGGACTGCCTGCGACACAGCTGATGAGAGCCTGAGGCTTAGGCCTAAGTCACTGACACTCACAACAAGAGTCTGAACTCTTGAAAGTCTTTCCAGTTTCTCTCGATGAAAGTATTGTGACAATAAAATTATGGGGGGGGGGATGGTCCTTCCTATTTTTTATTTTTATTTTTTATTTTTAAAATTATGTCATCGTGTGTGTTCTATTTTTTTTATAATAGGAGGCTATTTATGTGTGACGGTGTGACCAGTGACTCTGTTTATTTTTTAACTTTACAGTGTGAGACGTGAGTGACTGAGTGTACCAAGTACCAACTGTACACTATTTACACATATATTAAAATAGATACTCTGTATGTCTGTCATAGAGACTCTCTACTTGTCTTTACTCTCTACTAAATACTATTTTTTTATATAGTAAATAGAGTCAGAGTCAGAGTCTCAGAGAGAGAGAGACACACGGCCACACACACTCTCAAATAGTATGTTTGTGTTTTATTCTAATTTAATAAGGAATTACTTTTTTAACATTCCGCGATTTTTATAAAATGATGAATTATAAATGTCATTGGTATATACTATTAAAAAAATACTATTTATTTCTTGTCGTTCAGTTTTATACAATAGTAAAAAAATAAACTCATACATACATACATACATACATAAGTACATAAATGCATACATACATGCGTATATATATATATACATACATATTATATATAAATAAAATAGTATATATATATACATATACATGTATATATATATATATATATACTTATATATATTTATATAAATATTCATGTCAATATAAAATGGCGATCTAGCTGAGAAACATACAACACAGAGTCTTTTCATTGCAACGGTTATTCAATTCCGGTAAGGTGCCGTGCCGACGTCATTGAATGTATGCACCCGAGATTTACTTACACATCTTAAGCCATTCGCTTATGGTATGTGCATACTTATTGTTCGGCAAAAGTTAAGTTAAAGTTAAGTTAACAGTGAATAGATGCTTGTACGGAGTGAATAAATGCTTGTATGTACAGATACTCTCCCATACTATACATGACATATCTTTACCTTGAACATATATGCCCGTATAAATCACATTGGTGCTGGGATATGTTCTCGCGCGTTTCTGTACTCTCGCTATCGGCCATTTCAGTAAGTATATATCGTCCAGACCTAAACTATCATCATACATGTCCAAGCACGTGTACGTTGTGATACTCGGTGTGAGTAGTTTACTTTTTCGATGGCACATAGTCCAGGTATGTTTTATCCCTTTATACTCGCGCTGGCCTGTCTGCTGTATTCTTCAGACTCGAAACCGCTGTCATCACCCGGACACGCGAAAGAAACTACAGGCACTTCCAAATAGACCCTCCCTCCGCCTATGGTACCCTTAGTCCGGGCATTCGACCTTCCTCTTATTTTGACACTAGGTCTTATTTTCTCATGTGTGTAAATAGACATAGCTGTGGTGCTCAGACATGTGCTTTGTGAGTCGTTGTAAGCCTTGGTTGTGTCACCAGATATCTGTTTATCTGTACGATAAGACCTCTTTTTCTTACGTTTTTGTGTGGGTGGTGAACAGTATGAGGTGGTGATGATGGTGGGCGTGACAGGTCGCAGAGCTGTCGTATCTCTTTGTGTAGCTGAACACAATGTAGGGTCGTTCTGCTGTACACACGGATCTATGATCGTGCGACCATTTGATATGGGTTGTGGTTTGCCATCGTTACCAAATCCCTTTTGTGTGCGTGGTGATGTGCACTTAATAAAATCGCCGGCAGATGCGGTACTATTCACACCAGCCGTAGGCGTTAGCTTTTGCACTGGATTCGGCTTCTTACCCGAAGCTCGGCTTCTATGTGTGTGGTTAATAGGCTTTGCTGGTGGCCACTCCGACTGCAGATAGGCTTGTACCTCGTTAATTGTCCATCGCCTGCTTACGTCGATAGCCAGCATGTGGGATAACATCACCATCGCTGGCGCTGGGATTCGCAGCCACAGGTCCTGAGAAGTGTGCTCTCTCGCAGAATAACACCTGTAACCCACACACTTGTCCGTTGCCTCGGACCAAGGAAATCTCCCTGTGCACATACAGAACAGGCACACACCCAGGGCCCACACATCACACGCTTTAAGATCAACAGTCCCAAATTCTCTGTCTGTATCGTACAGCAACTCGGGCGCCATGAAGTTGGTGGTGCCTACGTTCAGGCGGTATCTCACCCCCGCACTCATATTGGTGCAGGCTTCGCTGGAGGTAGTCGTGTCTCGACAACTGTCGGCATGGTCACTAGTAACTGCTCCGTTGCTCAGATTGCTATTCCCCCTTGTATCTGCATGACTAATACCCTGAGTGCTCCTATCAGTGCTAGCCCCGCTATTAAGTCCCACAGCTCTATGAGCCGGTACAACGTCTCTGGCCAAAGTGTTCGTTAGAGATGGTGTCTCCGTTCTCTGGCCGTTTCCGACTGAGTGTTCGCTCTCCTCCGAGTCGGTGTGCACGCCTGTGCATCTTCCCGTGCATTTGTTGTTGAGTGTATTACCAGACACCACCAAGGCCTTCCCTACAGGTCTATCGACGTGCACATACTCAGACATCCCAAAATCAACCAGCTTCACACTCTTACCGTTAGTAGTACATACAATGTTCTCGGGTTTGATGTCTCTATGGGCAATGCCTATGCCGTGCAGATAGCTTATCGCCGATACTAACTGTACCATATACTCGCGCACTTGCGATTTATCTTCCAACCCAATACTCGGTTTGATGTGAGCAAACAACTCCTCCCCTCCCAGGTACTCCATCACCAGTGTGAGACTATTCTGTGTGTGTGCCACATGTATCACACGCGCAATGTGCGGGTGGTCGCATAGGCTGTGTATCTGTGCTTCGTTGTGTACATATATCCTATCGCTTGCCGTCAGCGTCTGTTCCTTCCACACCGCCAACGCACCACTCTCGCGATGTCTGACCAAGCACACCCTTCCCGTGCGACTCCCTGCAGCAAGTGCTCTGACTATCACGTACGTCGCCTTGATCGTGTGCATGTCGCATGTCTCTGAGTGGCACGCTTCATCTCGCCTGCGCTTGTTTAAATCCGGTGCACTATACACATTGCGCATCGCTGACGTCGTCCTCAGTGGTTCCGAACTTTTGTCCAGCCTCACATAGTCTGCAATTTCCTGTACACCTGAGTTTGCGTGTGCATCAGGCACAACATTGTTAACAATATTCTTGGACACACATCCATGTGCTTCCGGATGTGCGAAAGAGGGTTCGCTGGGGAGTGTAGATGCAGGCGTATGTGTCTGGTTGTGTGCATTCTTCTCCTGAAAAAGACCCCTACCGCTCTCATCGCTGAGCTGAAATAGGGACAGTGATTGCGTGAGCAGGTTAGTCCTAACTTCTCTGTGGCTATTCGTACACACACTAGTGCCATCCTCATCTACATGTACATCACTATACACACAGAGGTGTTCGTTATTCTCGTCATGGGCTGTGCTTCTGTTCTCTGCATAAAATGCGTCCCCTTCGTTGTCGGAGCAGATATGTGATGAGTGTAGTGTGTCTATCTGTGTATTCTGAAATCCATACTTGTGTGTGACCGGAGTTGATATAATCTGTGCGTTTGTCATATCCACCGAGACACTGCGCTCACGACGACCACATGACCTCCCCCGTCGCCTACCCCCTAAAGGTGTTCGTAACCAGTTAATCCAATCCATGTTATTCAAAAACCTTTAAATCAGATATATTTGTATATATACATATATATGTATGTATATATGTATATACATACATTATATATATATATATATATATATATATGTGTGTGTGTGTGTATCTATGTGTGGAGGACACCTGCGCTCAAACATATATGTCAGTCGAAACCCGCATTCTGCTTCAGGTTGTGTGTCCGCCAACACAAACCTCCTAATAACGTCTACGCAAGGTACTTGCAACAGATATACATATATATCTCAAGTTAACTAAAGGTACGCAACAGATATATCAAACATTATAATTATCTGGCTCCAGTGTGCATAGTCCCGACTCCCGGGTTGTGTATTGAAGTGTCAACACAATTTAGATGAAAATTTTGCACATAGTCGTACCGTCCGTCCGTTCGAAAACTCCAACCAGTTTTAAAAATATATTTTCATGGGGGGGGGTGAGAGTGGAATAATTTTATTTTCGGGGCACAAATTTTGAATGAGTTTTAGTAGACATTTCTATGTCTGATGCAGAAGAAGACTATATAATTTCTACACTACAGACAGTCTGAGGCCGGGTCTTAACTATAATAGTTTTCACGATATAATCGAGCGACATAGCTTGTCAGCCAATAGTATGCTCGATTAAATTTAAAAAAAATGATTTCGTGTCCCACTTTTGAAAACTTCCGGAGACAAAATTTGTCGCTTGTAATAGTTGTTTTCGTCATAGTATTACGTTATAGTTGGAATCTTTACTTACACAAAAATTACCAAGAAAACGTAAAATACCGTCGATATCCCCATCAATCTAATTGGATACACGAAAGCCCGCACAAAATGTTCGACTAGACGCAAGCATGTTTGTTACAAAGAAGCGGTTGAACGGTCGGGCGGTTACGATGCCTCTTTTGAATGCTGCTGTTAATAACAGTGTATATTTCTTGTATGCTTGTTAATTATGTAATAGACCTAGCTAAACGCAGCAATAGAATAGAACGTCTCTCTTCCGTGTGATATACTTTACTTCAAGTACATCTAAAAAATATGTATTTTATCACAAAAGAACAGATGTTGTATATATTAGAAGTAGTATATATTTATTAGACACTTTCTATTATAACATGCATTTGAATTATTGAAAGCTACGCACTTAGAGTAGGTTTATAAATAGTCTGTACTTTGGCGGGAAATGTCGAGTTATACTTTAACTACTTTGGTGCAATTGCGTGTGAAATCTCGAAGGACACTTTCTGAGTCATTTCGAAAATTTCAGCCTTAATTTGCCCTATTATTGTTACTATAACGAAAAATTGCTATAACCGATTAGACTCGGCCTGACACTCAGTGACACACTCCCAGTCTCCCACGACCCACAGTCCCACACTCACAGTCTACGTATTATAGAGTCTCACTAAAAGTAGAGTTTTAAAAAAGTTTAAAAAAAGAATTTAAAAATATATATATTATAGGTTTGAAGTCTGACAGTTTTTAAATGTTTATTTATTTTTATTGAAGGCGTGCCTTGTTGTGAAGTCTGAACTGTTCACTCATACAGAGACTATAGGAGACATGCTTTTTTTGTGTTTTTGTTTTGTATACATTTGATTTAATAAAAAAACACACATATTTAGATTTTAACAGAGCTCGTTTATGTGTTGGAGACTTGGCTGGAAGAAGTTGAAGTTCATTCATCTCGGATTCTCGGGTGAGTCGGGTCACTCTCTCTCTCTTGTGGTGATACGAAACTATGAACAAAATATTTCGTTATCACTTATCAGGGTAAGCACCGCTCCGTATGTAGTTCATACGTACAATACGCGTGGAATGACTCCATTCGCCAGAGCAGGCTAATAAAGAAAGAAATAAATGTGTTTAGTATTATGTGCGTTTAAAAAATAGGCTCAATAGTCAATAGTAAATAGTGTGCATCTCAGACTCTTAGTACATGTTCAAAATGTGCATCTACCCGATTCGCCCCTATACCTGCTACTAGGTTGATTACAAATGCTTAGGGCTTTAGTATTGTTGAATTCGGTTAATTTCATCTGCATACAGAACGTTGCTCAACCTCGTGCAGTTAAGTGCATATCAAACCAACTACAATACTCAACGGTTGTGGAAGCTTGACGGCTCGTTAATTTTATGCATGGCTATACAAACACAAAGGATATTAACATCAAGGGCGTGTTTGTATGATAAGATGTTATAAAAACACAAGCATAAAAATAAACATATATTATATATATATATATATATAAACATACGTACATACATACATATATATATTTATATATATATATGTATTACAGATATAGATATTGATATATATATATACAGATTTATATATATATATATATACATATATATAAATATCTATATATGTATATATATATGACAATGCGAGCCTAATTAATGGTAGGCTCGTATACGAATCAAAGTAGGATACAAGCCCACACTACAGTTTCTCAAAGGGATGATATACAGGTGGTAGATTTACCAACGGTTCTACACCTACCCGCTAGCTACAACGTGATAAGGTCAACAACATTTAGCGGCGTTCTTTAATTGAATCTCCCGAGCAAAAGCTGCCCCATCTGGCAGAATTAGGGGCGGGGACATTGTTACCCACTCTTGGGCGACGGTAGCATAGTGAGTTGCCGATCATCCTTAACAAAACTATACTAGAGATTAGAAATGTAGCACAAAGATCACCTGGCGATGCTCCTCTACGATCCCCAATAGAGGTGCCTCCGTCGGTTTAGTATATACTAAATCAGTCGTAAGATGTGAAGTCGTCTGAAGTGGTTCGTTACGTATTCTTTGTATTCGGCGAGCTCAGTTTTTCCGAAGGGTTAACCGATTTAGACACTCCACCTGAGAATATCAAAGGGTATTTTCCAGAAAAACTTAAGTTTCCATTTGAAGCGCATTCTCGACCGATCAAATCAGCATTGTGTACAATTCCATGAGGCAAGATGCGCTTGTAGTGTATGATTTGATAGAATAACAAGCGCTTGCTTCCAGCTAGACCATTCGGTGGCAGAGTGCGATCACCATATATATAAATATATATATGTATATATATATATGGATATAGATATAGATATAGATATATATATATAATATATATATAGATATATATATATATACATATAATGACATGTATGCAAAACAAACATACATCAAGTTATACACCGATATGTCACACTACATTCCGAGTGTGGTGTAGTTAGTTACATACTTCTTGTATATTGCATGTGTTTGTATAGTTAGTTACATAATTTTTGAAGAAATCTGTGGGTAGTCAGTTACATACTTCTTGAAGAAGTCCTCGCCTTTATCGTCCACCACAATGAATGCCGGGAAGTTTTCTACTTCAATCTTCCACACGGCCTCCATGCCGTCCTCCTTATTGTCGAGCACCTGATGAACCACAGCCACACCACAGACCATAGGTTGTCAGTAGCCATACATGTGCACGCATATCAAATACAATAATATGGTTTGCGAGAGGGTACATATACTCGAGCAGATAGCTACAATTGGACCGCATGTACTGTCGTAAAGACTGCAACTACTCTACTTAAGAATGTTAGTAATAAAATATAACAGCCTATATATATACATCAATGGGAGGTGTTGTTGGCAAAGGGGTATCCGAATCGCCTATAGTTTAGGATCAACCCAACACCGACTGAGCAGAGCGCGTTTTAATTTTAGGTATATATAAAAATTCGTCACATGTAAATAAGAAAATCAAAATTCCAAAAGTTGAAAAAAAAATCATAATCCCAAACAGCACCCGCCCGCCCACACTTCCACGCACATGCCACACCACAACACAACATATCACAACATACCATAATATACCATACCACAACATATCACAACATACCATAATATACCATACCACACCATAATATACCATCCCAGAATATACCACACCATACTACACGACACCATACCACACCATACCATAATATACCACATCATACTACGCGACACCATGCCATAATATACTAAACCACACCACACCATGACATACCTCCACTTTCCTGATGTTGTTCTGCGCCAGGATAGCTGCAGGCCCTCCAATGGAGCCCAGGTAAAAGCCCTTGTTGTCCTTGCAGGCCTTGGTCACAGCCTTGCTGCGGTTGCCTTTGGCCAGCATCACCATACTGCCCCCGTTCTTCTGGAACAGGTCAACGTACGAGTCCATCCGTCCCGCGGTGGTGGGGCCGAACGAGCCAGAGGCGTAGCCTGGGTGGGTGATGCGTTTAACGGAGAGGAGAAACGGTAAGACGTCGACAGGCGGATACCAGGGGGGGGTAACCAGAACATGCAAGAAACGTATTGGATGGGAATACGTAGGTGACTCACTGGGGAGTGCTTAAAGGACCAACTATATACACCCAGCGTGCGGCGGACAAGCAAGGACTATGGGACCGGGTTGCTAGAGATCTGGGCTAAAACCCTAGTTACTTGGGGGTAAAACCCTAATTACCTGGAGCTAAAACCCTAGTTACTAGGAGCTAAAACCCCAATTACTTGGGGCTAAAACCCTAGTTACTTGTGGTTAAAACCCTAATTATTTGTGGCTAAAACCCTAGTTACTTGGGGCTAAAACCCTAGTTTCTTGTGGTTAAAACCCTAGCTACTTGGGGCTAAAACCCTAGTTACTTGGGTCTGCGTGAATATTGGTTGTTGAATGCTGTTTGTGCGGGGTACGCAAGATATGCCAATTGTTTTAGCAATTGAACAAATATATACAAAATTCAACATAAACAAAGATATGAACATGTGTAAACAAAAAGCTTCGCGAAACGCTAACTTGCAAGATAGCAGACACTCATAGCATATAGGTGACCAAGACCAGCAAGTGATCGAAGCGCACGTGACAGATCTATTCCTTAACGCTTAGTAATAAAAATGCATGGTTGTATGTAGCTGTATACAGGGTGTGCATTTGTATTAGTAAACACTTGTTGTGTGTTAGTGCTGTAAGCTTCCTATGCATGTCCGACTCTCGAACGTACTTAAACATACTACCAGCATTTTTGGTAAACAAACTGATATGCGAGTGGTAAAATACAAAATAAGATACACGTGAATCCATACGCTTGCATACAGACTTGCATACTACCTCACTCATATGTAGTTCATATACACATATAGATACACAACCCCACCACACACACACTACACACCCAAACCATCCGGTAGCACCCACATACCGTCAGAGGTCTTGGCAGGGCCGGCATAGTACACAATGTGGTTCTTCCCCAATTTAAACGCTTGCATACAGACTAAAGTACAATAACATGCCTACCCACAATTATCTAACACTACTACCTCACTCCTGTGCAGTTCATATACACCTACACATACCGTCAGGAGTCTTGGCAGGGCCGGCATAGTATACAATGTGGTCCTTCATGTACTGTGGCAGACCCTCCCCACTCTCAATACGCTCCTTTAGCTTGGCGTGGGCGATATCACGCGCCACGACAATGGTCCCAGTGAGTGACAGGCGGGTCTTGATGGGGTGCTTGGTGAGTTCACTGAGGGAAGGTACGGGGATCCAATAGTAGTACAAAGTACAGTAAGCGTGTGCAGTGTCCCCATGTGCAAGTGCTGTGGTCACGGTAGGTAACTTGTGTTGCGGCAGGTGAAGGCCCCTCCAAACATGAAACAAAACAGGGCCACGCGGAGGGTCTTTCACATTGAGACGGCGAGAGCACTTGAGGACAGTATCGACCAGTGGTGGTACCAGTACGCGTGAGTACAATGCATAATACTTGTGACTGCTCATAAGTCATCCATATATCACCACCTACGAACAAGGTACAATGATAGTACTACCTACGATACGGTACCCTGATAGCATTACCTACGACACGGTACCCTGATAGCACTACCTACAATCACGGTACCCTGATGTACTAGCCTAATACACTAGAGGAACCAGGACAAAGATATCATGCCTACTACTGCCAGTAAACGATACGAGCAGATACACCGCAAGGACGGTCCTCAATCACATGAGTGTACTATGCACGATACTAGTGTATCCAAAGGTCGCATAAGAGCATATCCTCGTGCCTGTGAGACGGATGATACTACCACAACGACTCCAATAACCATCCCCTACCTAAGGATGTCCTTCATTGGTCGGTTGAGGTCCACTTGCACCACTTCTTCTGAAACCTGGTTCTCTTTGATATCGGGTAGGTACTTGGACGGGTCAGTTTCCAGCCGTTCGATGAACACGCCATCTTTCGTGATCTTGCCGAGCACCTGGGCCAATATATATGTGTTCATGCGGAAGTGTTGGCGGAAGATAAATATCTACAAAATCTGCATATAGCACAACTATATATATGTA